AGAGCTGGGATGGGACTCAGGCTTTTCTGGCTGTGGAACGTACCCCATACCCACTTTCCAGTCACCCAGCCGCCAGCACAGAGCCAGAGGCCCCGGGGAGATATGGGGCCACACCCAGAGGTCACCAGCGAGTTAATAACAAGCCAGCCGGGTTTGTTGTACTCCTAGGGTCAAATCAGGCGCCTGCTGTTGACACATGCCTTCTCCTCCTCCTCCCTCTCTAGGCACCAGGCAATGAAAACATAGGAAAACTGGCTTCTGGCATCACTACTGTTTCTGCCCACCAGCACCCCTTCAAAGCCCAGAGCCCGATCTGCAATTCACTCAGCAGCTAACAGGGTGGCCTCCCAGTCCTGGGCGGTGTCCCGGTGGCTCAGGCCTTCCGCAGACCCCCTGCTCTCTCTCCCTCCAGGCTGCGAACTGGTCAGTAGGGGGTTCCCCGAGAAGGGGCAGGAGGGGTGGGGCTGCTGGGAACTGGTTCTTGATTAAATACAAACCCAGCTGATAATTAGCAAACAGCCCACTTCTAAGACAAACAAATAGCTGATTTGGGCTCCAACAGCCCCACCCTGGACTACTCCCTCCCCACCTTACAGCGGTGAATTAGAAATGGGGGAGGGGACAAAGCTTTCCAGGGGCCAAAGGGTCCCCAAAGGTACCAGGTAGCATCCAAGTGGCCTGGACAAAGAAGGGGCACTGTCACTAAGAATGCCGCCTCCCTACCAGGCATGACACTGGGAGCTTTATTTGTGGTCCTGTCATCTCTTACGAGCATCACCACAATCCAGATCTTCTTACAGGCCAAGAAGCTGAGAGGCTGAGCGGTCCATCCCAAGCCAGGTAGGACTTCACACCTCTGGAGTGAGGTCTGCCTAACTGCACACCAGTGTCCAAATCAATGCCCTCGAGCCAATCCCAGAGAGCAGGGAGGGGGTGTACCAAGCACCAGAGACCCCTGCTGTCAAATCCAGTCTGGACCATACCCGTTATTGCTCTACAAACTCAAGACCAGTTGCAGCTGTAGTTTTGCTTTAAGGGGGGGAAAAATCCAGGCACTACCTGCTCAGCAAAGGTTAAATTCAGGCAGGCCAGTGTCCGCGCTGGTCTAGTGACACAGAGAGCCCTGTCTAGCCTCCCCCCACCCCCATTTTAGTCGCTTGGGAAAGACACCCAGCAGTCAAGCAGGCTGAGGACAGCTAGGAGTCAATTCCTCCCAGGAGGGGCTGGGGCAGATAGCCCAGCCCGCCTCTCCCAGCCTCTCATTCAGGCTGCTCAGCACTCCAAGTCCTTGGAGAAGCCCTCCGTTTCCAGGAGCTGAGGATGGCAGGAGCTGAATGTCTCTCCCACCCCCAACTTCCCTTCTTGTTCAGGCTCTTTACCAAGGAAGCCAAGAAAGCTCTCCTCCCCCTACCAGTGGGCTCTCAGGACAGGAACGACCCTGGAGGGCTCTGGCCCAACTTCCTCATTTTAGAGTCGGGGCCCACGGAGATCCAGAGCTGGGGCGTACTGCTCAAGGTCACCCAGCAATTCAGAAGCAGGACCTGAGGTATCTACCTTCAACACAGCCAACTTCCTGATCTGAAATGTTCTCTGAGGGTGCGCAAAGCAGAAACCTTGTGTTATCAGACAGACCTTGTTCTGACCTTGGCAAACCACTACATTCCTCGAGCATCAGTGTCCTGCGAACTGGAGATAATCATATGTACCTCACAGAACACCAGGAGGCTTTCTTATCAGTAATAAATACCCTCAGTGCACCTCTTAGAATGAAGTTACATGCCTGACTTTTACTCCTTCATTCATAATGAACATTTCGAGTTACTAACTACAAGACAGGTATTTCACGGAAAAGGGACAGAGCAGAGTTCCTGCCTTGGGCGTGTCTGGTGAAAGCGGTGTTTGTGTGTGTGGGCGGCGGGAGGGGGCACCTCAGAATTTGGTGCGTTGTTTCATTCCCTCACCGAACATCACTTTCTTCAAGGGAGGAAAAGCCTTAGCTGACTTTACGGTTTCCGATGCCCTTTTCAGAGTGTAGGAACTTAATCATGAATCAAATACCCGAGCGGGAAAGGGCTCTGGAGGCCATTCAGTTCCAATCCCATTTTACAGACGGAGGATGTCAACCCAGAGAGGGAGAGGGACCCAATGTCACAGAGCCCCCCACCCCAAGCTATGGCCCAAATATTCCCTCGGGTGCCTGGTAGCTCTCGGAGCCTCTAAGAATTCCAAAGAGCTCTCCCTGGCCACTCAAGAGTCCTAGACCCCCTGAGCTTCCTCCCCACCCCACTTCTGTGCAATCAAGGAGAGAATTCTCGAGGAGCCCAGAAGGATCTATCTCTAAGCTAAGAGCACACCGGTGGGTCGGGGACAGTTCCCCAGAACGGATTGGGCGCAGTGCCACACAGGCGGGCTGCGCTCCTGGACAGCACCACCTGGGGGGTGGGCCAGGCTCCCCAAACAAGGCTGCCTTTAATTGCCCAGGGAGGGAGAGGCAGGAAGGCAGTTCGGGGAAACGCTCCCAGCTGGACAGGAAGAACTGGTTTAGGATGGCAAGCCCCAGCCAAACGGAGAGGCTGGGTGCTCAGCCCAGGTTCCCTTCCTAAAACCTGTGGCACGTAGGGGGCCGGGGCCCACCGAAGGGGAGCTCAGGCCTGTGGTTTAAATCTAAAGTTTGGGGAGGAGCATTATTGGAGGGGCTACTGGATGGACTGCCGGCCTGTGTGCTCTCTGCTACCCCAAAGTGGTGCCCGTTTTACCCCTCAGTTCCCGCATCTACGGGGTGGGCACGGTACAATCCCCACCGGCTTTTTGGGAACTGCTTTCCACAGACCCAGCCTGGCGCAGGGAAAGCACTCAGTAAATTGCAACTACTCTGAGCAACACCCTTCTCCCTGGGCCTCCTTTTCTCCACCAGCCAAGAAAAGGGTCAACTAGACCATGTCTATGGTCTAATCCAATGGTGATAGAGGTCTGATTTTTTTCCGGCCACCACTTTGGGAGGAAAGGGGGTGGTGAGGCCAAAAGGGGAAGCCCTGTGACCCAATTAGGGGCAGAAAGTCTGTGACCTTAGCCAGGAAGGGGAGCACTAAAGTCAGGATGAAACAGAAGGACACCCCTCTCAGGAAGCAGCTGCTCAGAGCTGACTTCTCCCCCAGCTGACAGGTCACCACACGTAGGACGACTGGCAGCCCTCCCCCAAACCACATCCTTCAGGGACACAGCTGTCCTCTCTGCAAGCACTTGCAGGCTCAGCAGTCCCCGAGCGGAGGCTGGCCCATGAGGGCCCATGCGTTTCCCAGGCCAATGGCACCCATTCCCATGGATGCCTCCCCAACAGCTCAACTCCAACACATCCCTCGGGACCTGCGAAGAACCCCTGCACCAGGGAGCAGCGGGCTTGGGGTTGAGTCCTGGCTCAGACACCAACCTTTCAGCAAGGTTACCCTTCGTTTGGGGAAGTCCTCCGCTTCCACCTCAGAATTCCTTGAGGCTGGCCAGCCCCGAGGCTTTAGGTTCTAAATGAGTCCTGAGTTATCCGAGTGTGGGACACAGCAGCAACCACTCAGAGGGACATCGGACCACAAGTTAGGAGGACAGCATGGAGGGACTTGGAAGTCTGGCTGCCTAAATAGGAATCTGCCCGGCCCCTCATGACCTTGGCAAATTAGTTAGCCTCTCTAGTCTCAGTTTAAGAACAGTAAATGGGGTTGTTGTGAGAATTGAGCTCGTTGATAGAGTCATTGGAATAGCCATTAGGAAGCTATCAGAGCACCGCCTGAGGGGCATGTAAACACTGAATGGTATCATCACCGCCAATCTGCAATTGTGATCAAGGGTTATTGCTCAGGGTCTTATTCATTCCTGAACTGAAGCGGGCCAAGCAGAAATGACTTTCTTTCCCCCAAGCAAGCCCAGAGAAATAGCAACCCCGTACAGAAACTGAAAACCGGGACTTGCTCCTCCCCACACTGGAAAAAAGAGACTTAAGGGCAAGAAAGGGACACAAAGCCCAGGCTCTTGGGGGGCAGATACTTCTCCCAGCAACTCCTGCAGGGCCCCCCCCGCCACCCCGCCCCCCGCCGGCTGCCCCGCGCCCATCTTCCCAGAGGAGACTGCCTCCCTTCTCCCCAGCCGGCCGCTCGGATGAAAGGAGCTTCAGGTGCCCAGGGTTTTATAAGCGACAGCGACCAGTGGGGCAGCGAGAAGGCTTCTGCGGGCTCACTGAGGCCTTCTCTCCCCAGCCTCTGGCACCTCTCTCTCACTCAGTGTGGGTGCTTCGCCTTCCTAGTCTGCATTGAGCAGAAGTAGACAAGTAAGCAGTCTTCTTACAGGGGAGCGCTCAGCCATCCCTCCCGTCCTCGGTCTTGGCGTTGTAGGGATAGACCCTAAAGACGCACTGCTCAGCGCCCGTCCCCCTCCCTTACACCCTCGGTGCAGATGGGGAAATTGAGACTCAGCAGGGGCGGGGCCTTGCCCTGAGTCACAAGCCAGGGGCAACGCAGAGGCCAGAAGTGAGGTCAGGGCTCAGCACTCCACTCCCCGGAGGACGAGACAAGGCCCCATAGAGCCCTAAACGCCTCCCCTCCCCAGCGCTCGCGGCCACCGTCACCCCCAGGCATCTGGGATTCGGGAGCTGTCGGCTCCGGGAGCCCAGGAGGCGAGGAGGGGGGTTCGGGGCTCCAGCCGGGTCCCAGGGTCCTCAGGGAAGGTGCGGGGGGTGGAAGGAAGGTGACACCGGCTAAGTCACGTCCGAGCCTGGAGCCCGCGGCAGGGCTGAGGCCAAGGGGAGGCGGGAAGAGCAACAGGCTGGGGGCGCGAGGCGAGCGGAGCAGCCACCGGCGTCCTCCCGCGGACTTCGGGGCCAAGTTCCCAACAAAGTTCCCCCGGCCTGGGGTATCTCCTTCGGGGCGGCGCAGCCCCCTGATCACCCTCAATCTCAGGCTCCCAGGAACAAAGAAGGGACTGGTCCGCGCTCCCCCGGGGCATCTCCGAGCACCTACCGACTCGGCGGCAGCGGCCGGGGCGCCCACGAGGAGCAGCAGCAGCAGCGCAAGGAGGCGAGCGGAGGCCATGGTGCGGCGGTCGGGAAAGGGCGCGCGGGCTGGTGGCTGCGGGCCGCAGTCGGCCCTCCTTATAGGCGGCGGCCGGCCCCGCCCCGCCCCGCCCCGCCCCGCCGCCCGCACCCCGGCCCCCCCGCCCCCAGGAATTCCCCGCCGGAGCTAGGCCTCCGGGGCGCCGAGCCCGCCCGCGGAGATGGAAACCCCGAGGGACCCGCCCTGTGCGCGGCTACCCCGAGCCACGGCCCCTCGGGAGCCCCAGCCCCCTTTATTGATTTGAGCCCCTGCTTGCAGGCCCCCAGAGATCGCTGTCTCCAACCCCTTTTTACAGCGGGAGAAACTGAGGCCCACGGGTAGGAAGGACTTGCCCGAGGTCGCCAGGGCGGACCAGCGCTCTTCAAACTGCGTGCGCTCAGGTCCCGTCAGAGGGTGCGACGACTTCGCCAACGGGACGGAGCGCCGGGAGTTTGAAGGACGGGGACAGCAAGCTTCGTCGGCGAAGGGCTAAGCATTTCAGTCTTTGCCGGCCGCACGGTCTCGTCCCAATCACTTACACTCCAGAGCTGTGGCTCAAGGGAGCTAATCTATACTTAACGTGTGGCCGTGTACTGATGGGACACTATTTATGGGCACTGATACTGGAATTTTATAAAAATGTCACGTGTCACTGAATATTGTTCTTCTTTTGATCCCCCGAGCCCCCCAAGCATTTAAAAATGTAACAATAGTTCTTGCCCGGGCGGAGTGGCTCCGTTGATCAGAATGTCATCCCGGACACCAAAAGGTTGCGATTTGATCCGGGGCAGGGCACACACCTCCGTTGTGGGCTCCGTCCCCCGCAGGGCACCTGGGGCAGCGGGAGGCAACAGCCCACTGGTGTTTCTCTCTCACGCCCATGTTCATCTCTACCTCTCTATCTTCTCTCTCTCTCTCCCCCTCTCTCCCTCCCTCCCTCTCTAAAATCAATAAACATATCCTTGGGTGGGGATGTTTAAAATAATGATAAAAATATAAAAATGTAAAAACCATTCTTAGCGGAACAAAAACAAGGCATGGGTAGACTTTTTTCGTCTTGGGGTGGCTGACCTCTGTTTTAGGGGATTTTTAAGGGATTTGTTTTTCCAGATTTTGAACTTCCTAAGAATTTTGATCTCTCAGAGGACTGGTCTGTGAGCTTATCTCCAATCTCAGATCTGCTTCCACATCTGGAAAGAGAGAGAGGGAGAGAGAGAAGGAAGGAAGGAAGGAATGAACGAGCGAGCGAAGGGGCCCTGGTTGCCTCCATCCAGTGGATTGAGTGGCGGCCTGTGAACTGAAAGGTCACTGGTTCAATTCCTGATCAGGGCACACGCCTGGGTTGCAGGCCAGTTGGGGCTGTGCAATCAATGTTGTGTATGTTTTTTTTTTAAAGCCATGTGTCAAACATATCCCTGCCTCTTCCTAGCAGTGTGGGTAGGTGAGGAGGATGGTAAACTTTCCAGGGCCTCAAGCACAGGCACTGTTGGAAGGATTGAGGGGAGCATCCTATTATAATCAAAGCACTAAAGGTGCCTAGTCTTATCTTTTCTTTATTTATATGGTATAAGGATATGAAGATATGATATATGATATAAAGATATATGGACACACATAAATTATACAGGGTCTGGCATATAACTCTCCTTTTTAATACAAAATCTTTTATTATAAAATCATAAACATGTAATTCTGTAACATAACAATATCACACTCAAGCACACTATATGACATTCTTGGTGGAACGTTCAAATTAAAACTATAAATTATTACACCAATATTATTACCCTACCAACCACACTCAAACAGGCATTACTTCTGCTGGACCCAGTATGTGTCTTTATAATCTTAGAAAGATTATACATAGATAATCTTTCTAAGGCTGAAGCCTGGCTTAAGAACCAGGCTATTTTGGCCTCTGTTGGCATATTATGAATTCATATACTTTGTGAAGAGTTGGGAATGACTTCCCCTCTTCTGTCCCATCCCTTAATTATTATCAAATGATGACAATCTTTTGAGGCAGAGAGCCCTGACAGAAAAGCAAACTTCAAATGCAGCTCAGGTTTTCTGCCACGGATTTAAACGTAAGGTTTTTTGGGGTGTTTTGGTTTTGTTTGTTGTTTTTGTTTTTGTGTTTTGGTATTTTTTAGCTATTCTCAACACCTTTCCCTAGGATTTGGAAATAAACTGAGAAAATAAGTGAATCTCATGTCAGAATAAGAAATTCTTTTGCAAATCAGATGGGTTTTGCAGTGTTTGCTGTCCACAGAATTGAAGGAGGGCCTAATCTAGTTGTCAGTAGAAAGATCATTACAAATAACTTTTGATGACAGATCACTATGCCACTTTGGTTATCTCTCATCACATGGCTATAATAAAACTGTAACAGTGGGAAATTGTAATGGTGGGAAATTGCAACCCACCCTACCATTGTTTTGACATTGTTTCTGTAAGTACTTACAGATAACAGCACCAGCACAGCTGTATAAGAATCCTGGAAACTAACCTCAGAAGATACAGACCCTGACCTTCAGGCATCCCAGCTGCAGGAAATTCGCTAACATTCAACCGTTCAACCGTGGAACCAGAATGAAGTGCAGCCAGGATGACTAAGCCGGGGTGATGCACACCGGATTATTGCTTGTCTTACAGGAACGGACTGTGTGAGCCTGCGCATGGAGAACTTCCATCCCCTCCTTTGATCTCTCCCTCCTTACAAAAAGCCTCTGCCTCCACTTAGAGGTGGAGATGGGCTTTGAGATGTGAGTCCTCCATCTTCCCAGAAGATGGGCTTTGTGACATGAGTCTCCCAGCTTCCAGGTTGTCGGCACCTGAAAATAAACCACTTTCCCTTACATCAGCACCTGCCTCATGAGTATTGACTTTTGTAGTGGCAGGCCGTCGGACCTGCTTTTGGTTAAAAAATCTCTTTTGTTCCTACTAACTCCTTGAAGTGAAGAGGGTTTCTCAGCACTTACAGCTAGTGGTGTGCTGGTAAATATTTAACAATAGGCAGTGTGTATGTGAAGGGGATGAGAGAGTCAGGAACTGCTAATGTGTGCCTTTTGCCAATTTCTGTGGTGTAAATACTCCCATCATGGCTGATTTCAAACTACCAATGTGATGTTACTGAGCTTGGAGTTAGCTAAGGATGAGCAGTATGTTTTGTTTTTTTTTTAATCCTCACCCAAGGACATGCTTACTGATTTTTTTTTTTTTTTTTAAGAGAAAGATTGAGAGAAACATCAGTCAGCTGCCTCCTCCACATTCTCCGACTAGGGATTGAACCCAGAACCCAGGTGTGTGTCCTCACTGGGGATCAAACCCACAGCCTATGGGACCAACCAACTGAGCCGCTGGGCAGGACAAGATAAGCAGTATTTGTATCACACAGATACAGTAGGTGCGAATAATATCAAGAGCATAGGTAACAGTAAAATGTAGGGAAATAAGTAGGAAATGATGTGTTTTGAGTACTTATTGTCTTTGTTTTCTATATAGTTTATTTAATTGTAAGTTTACATAATTTAATTTTTAGTAATAGTTACATTTAACTACCACCCACAAAATGCCCAAGCTTGAACCAGTACAAATTGGTTTCAGCACACCAGTGCTCAACAACTGTAAAAATTAGGAATAAAATCTCGTTCTAGGGCAAACAATATTCAATGGTACATGAACTAATTAGAGAGGAAAATTACCCAATTTTACTTTTTCTGTTCCATAATTACTTATCAAAATTTGTAGGACTAGTTTCATGAACACATGTTAAGTTGTACATTTTAAATATGTGTAGTTTATTTTATGTCAGCTGTATCTCAAAAAAGATTTTTAAAATTTTGGTAGGATGTTAAAAATTGTAATGTATTTACATTGTTTTGATCCATTGCATTCCTATGATAACTGTAATGATAGAAAAAATTAATACCTAGTCTTACGGTCATAGAAAGTGAAAGAATGATCCAATATTCACATATATTTTTAGGCAGAGAAATATGAGAGTTGTCAAGAAGCCATGTAAGCATAAAAAAATACATATGGTAAAATTTTGTGGTGGAACATGGAGTGGAAATTTGAGTTCAAGTAGAAAAAGGGATGATGTAAGATTTCTGACTATTAGAGAAGAGCCTGTTCATGTATTTTTAAAATGGGTGGTTGTAAGTATCAAATTGCTAGGGTTTTTAATTAACTGGATACATTGAAAAGAGTAATGTAACTTTATTTTTAAGTACTTGACTTTATAATATGTCAGAAACTACAACATTTGTAACTATGTAAACTTTTGATGAAAAAGGTTAGCTGTCAACTAAAAAGTGTGCCATAGTTTTCAACAATCATTTAGAAAGTACACTAGCAAAACAGAGGGAAGACTGCTCATTGAGACAGTTAGTGGAAGCTCTTCTCTAACACTACGCTAAACCCCTGAAATTAAGAAATTAACTTTCCCTTCTCCAAGGTCTGAGAATCTCTCTGAAGGTATGTGGTATGTTGGAATACAGTTCTTTGTGGATCTGTGGGGTTTGAACCTGTGCTTTTTGGAATGGGGGCAAAAGTACATGGATGGTCACCAGTTCTGTAGTGTACGTTTCTATGCAAATTTTTCTGGGGCAAGAAACTTCAGATTCTCTCTTCAGATCCATGAACAAGTCATGACCCCGAAAGAGTTACAAACAATTTGACCAGACCCTGAGGCCCTTTAAAAAGTTCTAATAGGTTCTTCTTTGGCTCCCAGGAAACAAAATGCTGTAGTCAATGTTTTGTAGAACTGAATTGAAGTCCCAATTCCCTGCCTGAGACCGAAGAAAAAAACAAAACAAAACAAGAAAATGAAAAGCCAACCAAGCAAACAAACAAAACTCACATAACATTTAGGGTAAAAAGTTTTTTGATTAGCCCTGGCCGGGTAGCTCAGTTGGTTAGAAAGATGTCCTGAAACGCCAAGGTTTCAGATTCGATCCGGTCAGGAGACATGCAAGAATCAGACAGTGATAAACAAATCTCTCTCCCTCTTCCTCTCTCTCTCAGATC